GTAGAAAACACTGGTTGCCGGGTAAATTGTTCGTAAAGTTCGAGCATCCTCGTTGATGTACTTTTGTTACTTATCTCTCGCATAACGCGCGTGCTGCATCACGAAACGGAACAGGGTAAGAGTTTTCCGGAAAACAAAACAGTTTTCCGATAGTTTGGCTAGTGTGAAAACGAACAGAGTTCGTAGAGCCTAGCCATTAGTCTAAAGGTAAGGCTAGCTCGCTCCCTCTCTCTCTCTCTATCTTTCTCTCTTTCTCTCTCTGGGTGTATCATTGCGAAAGGAGGATAAATTACGAATCTCTACAGTACTTACCAAAGTTTTCATAAAGTTTACCGCTTCGAGAAGGCCGCTGCATTAAACAGAGTGTAGCTGTAACAGGAAATATTGCGATATACAATTTAAATAAAATGGAACGTGAACGAGGGAGAGCAATGATTAAATAATCGCTGTATCATTACGATCATTTCAAAGCTCAGATCGTTTTTTTTCAAGGTCAAGTCGTTTTATCTCCCATGTTTACACAAGATGTTTGAGCGAATATTTTTTTGATCAATTTCATACATAAAAAAAGTTTCGTTTTTAATTAATACGTATTAATTATCGAGAGAAGATGATATACTTATCTTATAGTCTTGTAAACAATATTTAATTATATAATTATATTAATATAACGTGTTGCGTCATTTTTATTGATACTAAGTCGTGTTGATATAATGTATTAACTAACGTGTTATTTGTATGGATTATTTGCGTTCTTTGTACATTTATTATCGCTATGAAAGGCGGAAAAGAGAGGAGCAAAAAGAGATGAACACGATCCATCTAATATGACCTCCGTTTCATATTTTTACATAGTTACTGACAAGTGTAACTGCGTATAATGATAACAAGTTGAGTGGGACGAGACACGAGAGTTTAAATTGGATTGTTCTTCCACACGGTCACCACTTCGTGTCGTGCGTACGAAACTATCGGGAATAATCGTGAATAGCCAACTTTTTTTCTTTTCTCTTTTTTCCTTTTTAACAAGTTTTTTTTCTCGGCGAAAGAAAATGGCTTCTGCGTTTTTGACGCTCGTTACGGGCGCGTTATTATTATTGTGCTTCTACCTCTATTTAAAATACACGTATTGGAAGAGAAATGGGATTCCTTGCGGTAAAGGATGGTTCCCGATAATCGGCCATTTCCTACCCGTGATAATCAAGAAACAAAGTTACAGTGAAGTGATCGAACAGGTATATCGCGATTATTCGGATCGCAGTATGGTTGGAATATACAAAGGAACGAAACCAGTGCTGGTTCTTCGCGATATTAATTTGATTAAAACCGTGTTGCAAAGTAATTTCTCGAAATTCCATGAAAATGCGCTTAAAATCGATTCAAAATTGGACCCTTTGTTAGCGAAAAATCCATTTTTCTGTTACGGAGAATTATGGCAGACCGGAAGGAAACGTTTGACTTACGCGTTCAGCAACGCGAGATTAAAAATCCTTTTCGCAGCCGTGAACGAAGTGTGTACAAAATTTCAAAACTTCTTGAACAGGCGGCTACAATCGAGTAAGAAATACGAAGTCGAGTTGAAGTCGTTGTTTTTAAAATTTACGAGCGAGGTTGTTGCGAACGCCGGTTTAGGAATCGAAGGTTTCTGTTTCGAGGATGGCGAAGTACAATCCATATTCACCAACTTCAACGATAACGATTTCTTGGATACGTTTTTGATCGGGATCTTCGTACATTTTCCCTTCCTTACCAAGATATTGAAGATAAAATTCCTACCTGATAAGCACGACAGATTCTTCAGGACAGTGGTGAAGAAAAATTTAGAGCTGAGAAGGAGCGATCCGATACCAAGAAACGATTTCATCCAATTGATGATCGACATGGAGCAGACGGGAGAGAAGATCGACGAGGAGAGTGTGGCGGCTCACGCGGTTTCCTTCTATCTCGACGGGGTCGAAACGTCCAGTGTCACGCTTAATTTCATTGGATGTCAATTGGCCATTCACCAAGACGTGCAAGAAAAGTTGAGGAAGGAGGTGAGATCGACGATCGAGAAACACGGAGGCGCGTTAACGTTCGAGGCTGTGAAGGAAATGACGTACATGAATCAAGTGATCAGCGAATCCCAAAGATGTTTCTCGGCTCTAGGCTTTCTGGGTAAAATGTGCACCAACGAGTTCGAATTGCAAGGCTCGGATGGATTGAATTATCGCGCGAAACCTGGCACCGAAATAGTGATACCGGTCTATGGGTTGCACAAAGATCCGAAATACTGGGAAAATCCAGAGGTGTTCGATCCGGAACGATTCGGCGATGAGAATAAGCAAAATATAGAAAAGATGGCGTTCCTTCCTTTCGGCGAGGGGCCAAGAATTTGCGTAGGGATGAGAATGGCTATGCTGCAGATGAAGAGTTGTTTGGCTACATTGATAAAAGACTACAAACTCGAAGTTTCGCCGAAAATGCAACTACCGTTGAGATTATCGCCGTCTTATTTCCTATCGGCGCCATTTGGTGGTGGTTGGGTACTCATTTCGGAAGCCTGAAGCCTTATCGAAAAATTACACGTCAAAGTTCGAGATTGATTATTATTGCGATCTTTATTACTTATGTTTAAGAAAAATTCGATATGGCAAAGGAGCAACGTTTGCGTAATATTCTTACCGATACATTATCTTCGAGAGATAAGTGATAATAAAATTTTGCTGTTACTTTTTAATTTCATTTCAATCGAATCTTGTTAAAGCGGAGTATATTTGTTGTTAACGAATCGAAAAGAAAAAACGCGAGAGAAATATCTATATATATATACACGTGTATATGATTCTTTGATTTCAATTGATCGTCTCCGTTACGTAAAAATAAAGAGCAGATAAATAAATGAAAAGAAAAGTAGGAGACGAATAGCGTTTATGGGAGTACGCCGAGTGCAGGTCTATTTCACGTGTCTCAGAATGTAGGGACTCGAACGAGTTTCCTGAGTGGTTTCCCGTGTTCACTATTGCTATGTACACATAACTGCGTCAAATTGTGTGTATGTGTGTGTGCGTGTGTGTATACACGTTTTATATTTTATATGTATATCGTATCGTTTATAACGTATGTGAAAAGAAACGATAAACTGGTGATGCAAGGCTCGTGTGTTTTCGATAAATAAAGAAATATATAATTCGTTACAGAATGGAGTCCATCGTTCGTGATACAAAGAGAAGACGCGATGAAATAATAAAATATTTACAAAAATTATATAAATTTATTCACATTCCGGTTTGGATAGGTCGGAAAATTAATTAGTTACAAGTTCAATAATGGACCTCTCTGTATTTCGAAATTACCTTCGCTATGTAAATAATCATAATTAATTCCCGGTTCTCGATATCAGATATTACGTTCTTTTAACTATTAAACCCGGTGTATAAACTCGGTGTTTATCGGTTTACGAGGCAATTAGATAACAATCAATTTTCCAATTGTTTTACCCGTGTAATCTCCGTGATAAGTATGGTTGATTATATATCTTCAAATATAAATCGTTTCGAATTCTTTTCCCATGGAAGCGTTCGCGTTCTTGATCGACATCACCTATTCTTTCGTTCCCTTTCTCTTTCCCTCTCTTATCCCGACCGATTCAAGACCGATTGGTTCCACTACCGAGAAAAAAAGAAGACGAAAAGAAGACGCGAAAATAGTGCGCGTGGTCGTTCCGCGAACACGTGTGTTCGAAGAGAAAAAGAAGAAGGAAGCGAGAGGGGAGGGGGGTGACGATAAAGAAGAAAGAGGGTGGCTCGAGGGTGGTGGACGAGGGGAAAGAGTTCTTCGCGTCGTAGTGCATCTTTCTCTGATTTCCCGTGGGAGAAGTCGGCTCGCCGGCTTTCTTCTCCAGCGTATCGAAGGTAGAATCGAACTGAGAAGATAGGTGGAAGGATGGAGTGGGTAGACACAGACGCGTCGTGTAACGCGCGTGTCCTCGCGGTGGCATGATTTATTTTATCGCTTTTCGAGAAGCTAGCATAATTCCACCCCACCGCCATCAGTTATTTACTCCCTTCCATCTTCGGATGGATGGAAGGACGAGCGGAATGGAATCGAGGACGAGGAAGGGATCAACAGGTACAGGGGGCGACCAGTATCCCTCGGCTACGTCGAGAAGAACCGTCATTCTTTAACGCGGGTGGAAATATCGTAGCGGGATGTCGGACGTAAAACGAACGTGTAAGAATTCACAGGGAGTAAGTTTTTTTTATTCATCGAGAGAACGAGGGTAAAATTTTGGGAGAACTGATGGTTTTCAACATCTCGCGTATACGTATATAAACGGGCGACAACTCGGAATGGAAGAGGCGAGGCGGAAGTTGGATTTGATTTAATTAAAACGGGCAGCGATAACAACGATGCAGTAAATTGAAAATTACGGAGCGAACTAATCCTCTTAAATGGAATATTACCAGCGGAATACCCGACGAATTCGATTGTTTTTGACTGGAGCTACGGCAATAAATCAAACCCCTTCAATAGACATTCAATACTTGCCACCATTGTCGTCTAAATCCCCCTTCTCGACTAACTCGATTCTTCTCGCTTTTAGTTTTTTATTTTTTTTTTAATCGAAATTTTCATTCGATCACCAATTATTCGACGAAAAGTATATTCTGATTGAAGAATATACAGAAAAAGAAAAATAAAGCTTCGATTAGTAATTTCAACACGGATATAAAAGGTAAAAAGTTTAAAAAGGAAGAAAACGATCCCTTTCGGATTACTTTTGTTCTTCTTCTCTGTGTATCTCTTTCTTTCTTGTTCCACGATATTAGCGTCCCGGTTGAAAGGATACCGGAAGAACGTCAACCCAGAACGTAATATACTTGCTCGCCGCCTTTTCCGAATGCACGTCGCCGAGGGTAAAGAGGAAGGAGGAATGGAGAAAGGAGGGGGATAGCGACAGGGTCGTAGCAGGAAATTTCACGGAGTGGCGCAATAACGTTTCTTATGCCACGTTTCCGGAGTGGCGTACTGTTGGGGGCAGGGAGAACTTGGAGCTTGCAAATACTCACCGTGCGAGAGAGGAAGAACGAGAGTGCAATAGAGACGGTGAAAATGGTAGGGAGAAGGAGAGGAAGAGATGCAGTCACTCTCTGGCATGCAATTAGGAGCTAGGCATCGCCCTGGAAAGGATTCCTCTCTTTCGGTATTCCTGCTCATCCTTCTCTTTCTTCCCACAAGCTTTGCGTCTTTCTTTGTCCTCCTTTGTCTCTTTCGTTCCGCCGCTCGTTCGATTACGTACACTGATTTTCTCCCTTGCACAATTTCCTATAATCCGCGTCAGCGCCACGTCCGCACACGAATACCACACTGCGAATAACGACTGTAGGAAATATCAGGCTCGAATCATAGCTCGAAAATTTGACACCTTTTCCTCTCGCCGATATCCGAAAACTATGATTTCAAATATAACGGAGGGATTATTACCAAATATCTAAAAGTAAAGAATTCATACGAAGGATGAAAGCTTCTCGTTCGAAGATCGTCAAGTTATCGCTTGTAATGCACAGTTATCGGCGATGCGAATATAATGCAAATCGAAAATTTCATTTCAACCCTCTAACACGATTTATATTAAAGAATTTTTTTGAGATTGCGTCACGTCGGTGAAACAAGAACGTATGAAACGTGGAGAGCGGGAAGTAGAGGAGAGAGATGGAGAGAGAGAGAGAAAAAAAAAAAAAAG